GCATGGAAGAAAACAACACCACATACATTTCTTCACATTGAGCACCACGTATGACATATGAACGATTGGACGTGTCCTTTGATTGCACCCACTAATGTAAAAAGCTAAGGCAGGAGGTAGCACAGAGATCAAAAGCCTGGTGTCCAATGTATTGTGCCAGACTGTCATGTGAACCCCAATAATCGAATGCGGCCAGGCTGTTTCGAGCCACCGCTGCCCTGTTTGTTCACCCATGGCCAGATGCACTGATTGCTGTAAACGTGTTACACACCAGAGCGATGAAGGTGATTAGTGTGTCGATGTGGTGGATAAGGTCGCCAGGACATGCAGCCATTAGAAGAGCCCACCAAGCACCAGCCCGACACGCGGGCAGACCTGCGGACTGCGCCTTCCCTTGCGGCGGCGGGGACCGATGATGCTGATACAGCCAAGGCCGACGCACAGGCTATGACTGAGATGCACAAGAGTGAAGAACAGGGAGGACACGGTCCTCAGAATCAAGAGTTCCCCATGAAGTCCACGGGGCTGGGCATCATGGGGGCACCTCCAGGTCAGCAGGCCATTTTGATTGAGGTGTAGCCCCTGGGAGCTAATATATCATAGACAATGTCGACCTGGCAAATGCTCGCCGAGGCACAGCAACAAGGCGGGTGATATCCATGTTGGTGTTTTTCAGTCGGTCACTTCAACTCAACGGAATGGAGCCGTCTGCCACATATAGAATCTGGTAAGGGAAGACATTTCCTTGATTTTAATACGGGGGTGGGGGTGGGGGGTGGGGGGTTTTCCAGGTCATGGGCGCTAAGAGATTATGCCATTGTACTAAAATCAAAGCAAGCTGGGAAGATGCACAAAAACGCCGCTGATCAGCGGCAGGCAGCTCATGACGTGCTCCAAAACATCCATCAAGCTTTCAATCTTCGAGGAAATCACTAGATTGGATCAATTTCTAACATGTTGGGCTGCTCTCATCGCCCATCATGCCTTTTCGCATCCCATTCTTAAACCCGATACAATCGCCACAACTGTGGATAATTTTCCCTTGCATCATTAGCCATTTGACGCCAAGCGTACTAAATTCAAAATAGTGTTGTCCCTAAATTTTTCATTCGTTCGGCGCCTGCCAGAGCAGAATGAACCATGACCCAACTGCGTATTGAACACTGCAGGCTCCAGTGCCGTTTGACATGGTTTCCACCCCGTTGCACCGTGTCGAGCCGTCGCACATGATGTTGTTGAAGGTAAACTCGGTTTCAAGTGCTGAGCAAGAGCCGCCGCGTGGGCCGATTCAATTCTTTGTCTCTGGCCTTATCACAGGATGGCACAACTGTGAAGTGATGTCCCCGTCCAATGAACCATCTTCCTCAATGTCATTCGCGCCAAATTGTAGCATGTGAAACAATGCTGACGGTCGTATATTGTTCTTGCAGCCCAGGGACAACAGTTTTCGCTTTCCCAGGCGGTTGCAAGGATTCAAATGGTGGGCATCAGCATGGGTTACGTGGTGCGCGACGTCCAGCTGGAGGCCTTCAACAGCAACTAAGGGCTCCACGGGTCATGAAACCGTGCGTGAGAGGGGTCTGCCGTTTCGGCAGCCGATTCGTGTATGAATATATCTTGCAAGATCGAAGGTTGGAGAAGAGAGTTCGCCATGTCCTCTTCAGAGCCGCGAAATTTCGAAAACATCCGTGGATGGGAGTCGCTCTCTTCCCCATTGGTGCCATCACTTCGTGGGTGCATTCTGGTGGTCAAATCGCCTGGGACGCAGCTGCCGTCGATGGATGGTGGCGGTTGCGTATCGATTGTTGAAACGATAGCCACTGAGCGATTTCACCTGGCAGCGCACGACGTTATCCTCACCCTCTCAAAAGCTCACCTGGTCGCCTACTGGACATTTGGCATCGCGAAGCGCGCGCTGTTCCATCCATTGGGATGATGGCGTTGGGGTGCAGAACGTCTTATCTTGCAAAAGAAAGCATACGGCGTCTTGTTACTGATTCCTGAATTTGAAACGTGTCAGGCATCCGACAGGACCTTGTGAAAGGCTTGCGATGCTTATTTCCATGGCGTGCGAATCTCGCAACGGACCGACGCTCCATCTGCAGGCGCACCTGGGAAAGGCACGCACGGAGCAAATTACATGCACCGGGGGGCCATGTTCAAGTGGGTGAGAACACACCAACGTCATCCTAGTGGTCCATTGACTGGAAGCAAATAACCAAATAGCTGCACCCGACTGGTGCGATGAGAGTTTGTCCCTGAATAACATTGTTGGCGAAGAGCGTTGGACGAGTCGTTTGTGCCTCAAGCAATTGATGGCGCCCTGGTTAGCCACCCACGCACGCTGAACATGCATCGATTGGTAGGTTGCTAGCCAGCTAGCTGGCGCGCTGTCGGCCCGGGGATTTCACTGGAGCAACCCCCAACATCTAGGACCGTTGCATGAATTGCTGAGGCACATGCGCGTGACACTTACCTCGCATGCATCAGCCTGCGCTCGCCTGAACTGAGGCGGACACAGCAAGGACAGCCTCAAAGGCTGCTGTTGACTCCAGGCTACTGAATCTCTGGGCTCAGCAGCTGTGCGCCACGGATGAGGGAGCATTCTCCCAGTTGTCTTCACAGATATCTGGATCACGCAGAACTGGCGGTTTGGATAGGAGGCGACAGGGCAACGCTCGCTGCAGTCACACAGCTGACAGGAGCCGTGATCAAGGCGTGGGAAAAGTGGTTGCCCCAGAGTTGTGACACACATCGCGTGCTGACGCACACGTGTGCACAAGCTCTTGGCCTCGTATCCCGAACTGACCGTGAGCGGCAGGGAAGGTGGTCCCCATAACCCAGCCAAGCCGTCCAACAGCTCGTATCCAAAAGCGGATTCGAAGCAAAGTCCGTCCCTTTACATTTCTTTCACACATCAACGCGTGTCTTCTTACATGGAATGAAATATAAATTAGACCGCAAGCCCACAGGTAATGGGCCATGCCCCAAACCGATTCCAGCAGCCCGACAATGGAAATACAGATAAACAAAATCAACCAGCACACTCTACTCGGTCCTTGGCACATCGCTACTCCGATGACCCATACAGGTTCCTGGCAAACGTCCCCTCCGAGCCGGTGTGGCGCCTGGCCGTGGTGCCTGCCATCCACAGTGCAGCCACGGAACAACGTCCCCACTGTCCCAGCCTAGCGCTTTCTTCGTCCGGTCGTCCATATTGGGGGAGGTGTGCTGCCGATTCGAACACATTGTGCTGACCAACAGCCGCAATGCACCAAAGGAGCACGGAATGAAGCCACACAGGGGAACACAGCGTGCAATCAAATTTCCAGGTCAGGGGTATTCTCATGCTTCTCTACCTTGACGGCTGCCCCAAGTGGCGCCGTTGGGACACACCCGCTCGAATGGTTTAAGAGTCGTTGGGATGTCTGCGTCTCCACCTATAACAATGGATACTCTTCGTGTTCCACAAACATAGATCTGATGTTCAATCAATCCCATTAAATGCAACAGCTCTTGAAAGAGGACCACCCCATTGGCCAATGCTGCATCATGCAACAGGACACCAACTGTAGCACTCCCAAGAGGGCAATAATTGGATACAAGTGCTACCATGCCGTTGTCTCACACAAAATGCAGGCTGAAAGGCACAGCCCAGCTGTCAGATGTCGCCAGACTCTTTCAAGAACACTTTGAGTTTTCTTCCTCCTCACATCGAATGGGTTGCACCTGACTACTGCCTTCTCACTCCTCCCCTCAAATTCAACCCTCCAACAGTAAAGGCACATCACCGCTTTACCCACAATCCGATCCACCATGTCTGGAGGAAATAATGAAATCATCAAATGCCATCAAAGATAGCGTGCAGTTGGACATGTCCACTTATTTGATGCGTGGCAACACCCCCCCGGGGGCGGCAACCCAGGGCGGGCATGCCCACATCCTTTCTAGGCTGTGCTTAAACGACCGTCGCTTCCCAAAGCAGCATCCAGTTGGAAGGCACCTGGTGACTGCCAATGCTACCCAAGAAATGGTTTGCACGGACAGAACGCACACATTCATGCCAGAAGGCCCGCAATGAGCCCACTGTTCCTTCCAGTCGTCAGTGGCCTCCACCATACCACACTCATCAATCTGCTTTTCACCCACTGAGCCCAAGGCCGTTTTGCACCCAGCAAGTTAAGAAATGCCATGAAGCACCCCACAGCACGCATTGCACACAAACACAAATTGGCCCACACAAGTGTCAATTATGTGCCAGCCAGGATGTACACACATCCTGGAGGGGAAGGCCCCACAGGGGAGATGGCTGCAACTGTGCACACCGCCTCCCCTCTCTTCCTAGCCACTGTAATAACCAAGTTGAGGACACTGCATCAACTACAATAAAACTAAATGCAGGAAGAAATCAAACCTGTGAACGACACGCTGGAGGTGGCAATTCCAGAAACGGCTCTCTTGGAAACGCTCTGGGCTGCTTGCTGCATCATGCCCTTGCATGGGAAGTGTGAGGACCCTGATGCATCATTTCTGCGCCCGCAAACCCCTCCCTGCCATGTTTTCCTTCAACACAAGCTCAACACCAAAACCCACAAGCAACTCATCCAAGTTCCAAATTCGGTCTGTGATGATCTGCCAAATTCGTGTCATGAGGGGACGACATTCTCCATGCCACCATCCAATCCACCTGCCAAACAATCCCCGTTGGTTCCTGCAAGTTGAAATTAAAATCTCCAGCTTGCTCGCACATTGGCGCAGCCAGCTGCCATTGGCGACGAGCACAAAATGAAACCAGCCCTGCCACTCATTCTAGAGCACCACACACTCGTCGCATTTGTTCACAGGAAGCCCACCAAAACTAGGGAAAAAGAAATAGCACAAAATCAGCCCAGACATGTCTGCGGCACGTTGGATCTCTGGGTTCTACCTTACCGTATCTACATCTGGGCCCCTTCACCATATCCAATCCTTTGCCCACTCACACACTCCCACTGTTGTCGTCATTGAGTTGGGTGCAGACTGATCGGCCCTGCCTGTCCAGCCATCCCAAGAGAGGCACCAGGCTGGCTTCCAGCAACCATTGGCACATAGCCACCAGGGCCAGCAGGGGAGCCCACCATGTACCCGTTGCACATGTATTGACCAGTACCCATGTGAGGCACTGCAGGACTGCTAGGTGCAACTGGCTGAATGGCAATTGGAGCAATTGGCAGCGGCCCATTTGGGTAGAATCCATGAGCATTGCCCAGGCCGTCAGCTCCATGGTTCTCTCCGCCTGGCCCCTGGCTGCTGCTTGGGCTCAGAGTCATGCCGCTCATCGAACGCGCAAGGGCCTCAAGGGTGGCGGCCTGGCTGGCCTGCTTTAGAAGTTTCCGCTGCCGGTTTGCACCCTTCATCATGGGAGCAGCAGTCTCTGGTGGAAGAACGGGCAGCACCTGACCTTGTGCCGGTTGCTTACCTGCGTGTGCAGGGCCAGGAGGGATTTGCCCAGCGATGGCCATCTTCTGGAGGTTCACCATGGGGCTGTCCTTCGGGTTTAGGCCAAGCTTGCGAGCAAATGCATTTGACATACGGGGGGCTGTCACACCTGCCCAGTGGAAAACATCGCTGAATGAGGCACCAGTTGGCATCAGTACATTCCCAAATCCCAGCACCAACTAGTAAACGTATCATCAGGCTCTACAAAAAGTTCCCAGTGCATGCTGTGGTCCCTGTTACCAAATAGTATGTGCCACAACTTTCAAATGATTCCCCTTAAAGGCAGCAGCTTTACCTGGGCCTCCTTCCGCTGCCTGCTGACTTCCATTTCCAACGGCTGCTCCAGGGGTGTTTGGGGCATGTGGACTTGGCACCGATGTGACCGGGGTCGCAGCTGGTGGTGACATGGGCTGCACCATGGCAGCTGTGGCCTGTGGTTGCATGGGCACCACCACAGGTGCCGGCACCATGATGGGGCTTGGCACCACAATGGGCGGCAGATTAATGTCCGCAGATATGGCTGGATCCACAGGTGCTGATGCCTGGGGTTGTGGCACAGGCGCACTGTGCATGCCGCTGGCCTGCGACCCCTGTGGAATTGAGTTGCTTGGAGCCCCCCCTCTATCGGGTCTGGACACAGCGTCCTTGACAAACAAGCATACAGCACAGTTCGGCTTCCAGGATTTGCAACAGTAAATAGTATATTCAAGCCAAGGGCATCGATGCCATCTGTTCTCCGATTCAGGCAAGCTGTGCAGTCAAACACCCAGCAGTGAAATCTTTGCCGAATTAGAGGGTATCCTTTCTTCAATGTCTTCAATCATGTTTGCTGACAAATAGCACTGATGCTTTTAAAGACAAGACTGTAAGGCATGTCTTACAGTCAGCTACGCACTCCCATGAGGAACTATGTGCCATTTGCCATACTGCAGAGAGCAGGCTTCCTCAAGGCCGTGAGGCAATGCACACTACATTGAGCAGTGCCAGGCAATCACAAGAACCAAACGAGCAGATCTGAAAGCTAGCCGGATTGAGCAATTTATAGTATGGCGCGACTATGCTCCCAAAGACCAACACAAGGGCACGCCCGTCCCTGTCCTTTCAGGCACTGGCCCTTCGCAATGTTCACAGTGACCACCTGACACAACTGGCAACAGGCATGACAGGCATGAAATATGGGGGTGCTGCAAGCGATCATGGCATTGCCTGCAACATGGGAGTCTACCTCTGCTGTTGGCACCCATGTGTGCGAAGGAGTTCGAAGTTCTGGGAGGCTGTGGGCGAAGAAGCACACTGGGCGCCTGCACTTGTTCCCGTCCTTGCAGAGCTGGCTCCGATATCTGCATGAAGACCCACACCACCACTGTCAGGCCATAACCCACCCCACAAATAGGCAGCAATCCTGGCAGCTGCTGACTGCAAATTTGGGTCCTTGGTGTGCAGAAGCTTGCTGGCCACTGCTGCATGACAAATCAACAGCGTATTCAGCAGTTTCTCCTGAAAACACACACCTCGATGGGTGCAGCCAACACTCAAAGACGCCGTGGGCATATGGACACCCATCCCCACGCATGCAGAACCCTTGCTTGTAGTTGGGGCAAGCTATGCTGCAGTATCGGTAGTCCCGTGGGTCACGGCGACGAGCATTCTCAGTAGGGTGGGCAAAAGGGCATGCTCGCCAGTCATGCGCATAGCGTCGGCAGCAGCGCAGCACCTTACATCAAAAGCAGGTACAACATCAATGATGTCAGTTGCGTGCACAGAGGCTCCCAAACAAGGCCCCCTGCATCTGGGGGCTTGAATTAAAAACAGCCTATATGTGCTTTATGTTGTCATGTTTGTTGTTGCCAAAAAGGCATGAATCTTCACGGCATTGATGGGCTTGCACCCTGCAGATTCTTTGTCCAAATTTTTCAGCAGCACTTTTTTCTTGGGTGTCAGGTAGCGATTATGAGAATGAAAACATCAGGCAATTTGAACGGGGAGGTTCTGAAACATGCAGGTACATGAGGGAGGCTAACCAACATTGTGTCCACAACCCCTGAATTCCAGCCTGGGCTTGGGGTGCAGAGCATTGTTGCAGGGTACTGACTGCAAGATCAATGCTGCGACTCTAGCAGGATTAGTAAGACCGTCAAATACTGAAACCAGCAGTCCATGGTAAATAAGAAAGAGCACCACGGTCATCTATAAGTACACCATTGCACACCACTGCTGTTGCTTGTGCTTATCAAGCACATCAGCATTGCACTGGACCCAGTCCTTACCTTGAAGCAGTACATCCGAAACTCGTCCGTTGAGTACTCTGGCTTTGTCAGCTCAGAGGTGGAATATGGCAGGGCATCTGGGTTGTAAGGATCCGATCCAGAGTCCTGTGCACAGAAATACACCCCTCGTTATGTGGGTACCGCGCACAAACTGCACACAACGATAAGGGAGCACTGGCCAAAAAAAAATACCATCTCCTCAGTGATCCTGCTGCATGTCCGCCCATTGCACCCACAATCGCACATCGCAAGAGGGTAGGAGTCTCAAACACCTGCTAAGCGAGCCCCTAAACCGTTTGGTGCGACCTGCTCTCACTTTTCCTCAGTAATCGATGTCTGCACTGCGATTGGCGCCCAAGGACCATCACGTGCCCTACCTGTCTCGCTATCGGCATGCCCCAGACCTGGCCCCTGTAATGCTCCTGCTGCGCGTCCACTCTTTCCCCCTGCGGCACGCCCTCCATGCCGAAACTGCCCGAAGGCGGCAGCTGTGCCAGGGGCGCCTTGGAGACGTCGACTTGGCCCCTCAACACCTGGAGGCTGCTTTCCGCATCGCGCAGGTAGGCAACGATTGTCGGTGTGCTTGGATGGTTGCCAGCGTAAGCCAACTGCAGAACAACGCAGGCAAGGGCTGGAGTCAGTCGTCAGGAAGGGGCGGACGACCGCTGAGGAGAGGCCCGCGGGGTGGGTGGGTGGGTGGGTGGGTGGGTGGGGGGGTTGGGGCGCACTAGGTGGTTCTCTGCATTCCTCCAGGAGTAAACACCGGGACACCAGAACCATCGCCCCCGCAGAGTTATTCCCAGACAGTTGACAAGACGCCCGCCCGGCCCCCAAGGCCCGTCGCCTGGCCCTCCCCAGCCCTCCCCCGGTGCGTCCAACTCGCCGCGAAGGCCACACTCGTCGCCACAGGGTCCCGCTGCAAAAGGCGAACACGCCCCCACAGGCGCCCGAGGGCATTTCCACCCATCCTGGGAACAACTGGTAAACTACAAGCGCGCCCGGCACCGCCAACCGAAGACGCGCTTCGCGGCCCGTGGCCCTGCGATCCCCAGACGGGGCCCCAATGCCAACAAGGGCGACCGACGGGCAGCACACAAAGGGGACATCCTTCGCTTCTGTGCCTCCCGCGCGGAGCGCAGCGCGGCCCCGGTAAGGGGAACCCCGGCTTACGCAACGCGCGAGTCTGACTGTCCCCAACAACGGCCCTGACCGGCCGCCGTTGACCCGCCCGCGCGTGGCGCGGTCGCAGCCCGCCCCGCATCAAGCAAACCCGCCCGCCGCTGAATGCACACCGCTGGCCGCGAGGGGCAGAGTGGGATGCGCCCGTCGGACAAAACGCGGCCCAATCGGCGCCGGCGGGGCGCCTGCGGTGGGGTCCACAACACGCGCCGCGGTCCATCAAACTCCGCCACGAGCAAGACAGCGCCGCATCCCGGGACCGGAACCCCGCCCGACTTAAACCCTGCGCCCCAGGGGCCCGCGGAGCGCGCAGCCCACCCCTCGCCCGCCCCGGCGCCCGCGACGCCGGGATTGCGCCGCGGGCGCCCCCCGCAGTAACGCCCGGAGGGGCGGGGCACTCACCTCATAGGACGTCATCCCATCGGGCGACACGACCGCCGGGTCCGCGCCGTTCACCGCCAGCAGCGACAGGACGCGCATGCTGCCGTGGAAGGCGGCGATCATCAGCAGCGTGCGCTGCTTCACCGTCACGGCCGGCTTCATGGAGCCATCGCCGCCAGGTGCCTCCTCCTTGCCGCCCGCGCCGCCCTGGGGCTGCGAGCCCCAGTGCAGCAGGACGTAGAACGCATTGACGCGCGCGGCATCGGCGCCAATCTCCGCCTCCACGTGCGCAGCGTCGTCCTCCACCACCGCCCGGAACAGCGCGCTGGACTCCGACAGCAGGGGCTCCCAGGACGCGGCCTGCTGTATGTAGTGCCCGAACACGGAGTCCGAGCCCGAGACGGTCGACATGGCTGGGGAGGGGTCTCTGGGGCGAGAGGGGGCGGTGGGCCAATGACGCTGCCCGGGCTTCAAGGCAGTGGACGGAGGCAGCGGCGTGGGGTCGCCCTTGGGGACCCCGATGTCGTGGTTGTGGGGGCAGCAATTGCGAAAAATGGAAAAAAATGCCTGCCAAGAAATCCAGAAAATGCTCTCTGTGCTGGGGCGCCAGTTGTACTCCGTTTCCAGGGACTGGAGCATCCTTTGCCTCATGAATCATGGAGCACCTGCATTCGCCAGCCCAGGGTGTACACACCAGACCGACGATCGTTGAGAAAGAGAGTGCTGGCCAGATGGGTGCAGCGGGTGTCGTGGATAAAAAAACCAAACGAAATGAGCAGCCCAGGAGTGCGGACTGAGCGAGTTGAAAACATACCGCTACATTCCTTACATCAAGAACTCGTCTCCAGTGCAGTCCAATGTCTGGGCCCAACTACAAGAAATGCGATGTAGGGCCATTTTTGTACATTCTATTCCGAATACACATCTTGCTCGATTCAACCATGATCTTATTGATCTGCACAGGTGCACATACCATGATTGTGCAGCATTAGTACCATTGGTGTACACGGCCCTAAACGAAGCCATATCGACGGGTGCCTGCACTGGGTCACGTCTACTACCATGATCACTGGAGTGGACAGAGAAGTTTGGAAACTGAGCCCTCGGAAAGGCAAAAGCCGGTTAGAAACAGCTAAAATGCACGCACAGCAACATGTTGCAACCTTCACAACAATGCAAAGCAGAGCCGCCAACGCTGACACAAACGATCTTTTCCAAGCACAGCTGCGGTTCTTAGCCTCTTGGCTTCCATCCCATGCACCGAACTGAATAAGGCTCCGCCTGCTTACGACATCCCACCCTCCCTTCTGTGCTGGACATGCCCTTCCCACGCTTATGCGATGTGGGTTCTTCATTCGATCCGCAAGCCAATAATGTTCCTACGTGCCTCTCAAGCACTTCCAACTGGCCTGCACCTGCTTGGCGACTGAACAGTCACCTTCACTATTGATCAGAGTGGGTGAGAACTGTGAGGCTTGCTGCTAACAAGCATGCATCGCGTCAGTGGTACAGGGTCAGCACATTGGAGCTTGTGGTGCACTTTGAAGTACCACAAGTGCGTGCAACAAAGGCTGTTCCACAGCCACAGTTGTGCAACTGGCGTCCTCTCATCGAGATGAGACCAACGTCCCCTTCAACAGTGTTGGGGCGGATGCTGACACCGGGCCTTGGATGCTAACGTGGTTTGGAACCCCAGAGAGGATGGAGAGGATATTAGTAGAGATTGGACACAAACAACGAGTAATCAGAGCTTAGGCATTGTACAACATGCTTGCAAGCCCATAAGTGGGGGCTCAAAATCCCAAGTATTCGTTGAAAGCTGTAGCCGGCCATCCAAGAAGCCAAATGGCACATCACCAGGTGCTGCAGCACCACCAGTGGCAGTTAATACAGTTGTAGCCATTGAAAGCAAATCAAGCTAACAAGAAACAGCTCACACACTGATGTATGTGAAGAGCATTCATGCTCATCTTTGGCAGAGACAGTGTGACGGCACCCCTTCTTGTGAACACCTGTTCACTGAGGAGGCAGCATGCTGCAATGTCAGGTTGCTAAAATGCAGGCTGGGCAAGGACTGGGAATGAGGCTTGCGCAATGCAGCGAGGGCAAGTGCCCTGTAGCACATTCGCAGGCTGATTTTCAACACTAGCTGGGCACACAGCTAGACACCCTCTCCTACACTTCAACGATTTGTCTGCTCAAAGTCAGTTTCAAGATGTCTAACAATCACACTCGCTATCAAGCTCAAATCTGTGGAAGGCTGACAGGTATTGCCTTGCTCCGAGTGTTGAAGGACATGAAGTCTGGCCGCAGGACATGCAGATCCATAGAACTGCCAATGCAAAGAAATCAGGAATCCATCAGACCTGGATGCACAACCATGAGGAACCCAACAGTTGCTCTCAAACACAGCAACTGTCTATTTCATACCTTGATTTCAAATTTCACTGGCCTATGACCAATATTAAACCAAACAGCATGTGGCCCTTTTGAGCAGACCAATCCTAAGGTCGCCTTTTCTCAACAGTGTTAATGGGAGCTAACATAAGGGGGCAAATATGCCAGCAAGCACACATGAACAATCGTGTCATCATCCTGAGAAACCATGCATGTGTTCCCTTCCCAGGGCAGGTCGCCAAGACTTGCTGCTGGTGCCACTTGCAGAGCATTCTCTTTGTCCACGATCTCCATCGCAAGACAAAAGGGCTGCATGGATGAACTGGCTGAAATCTGTTGTGTCAACTGTCGTTTGACAAGACAACGTGGTACCTGTGCACCTTGTAGGGGATGATGTGCATGCATACATTCAACAACTGTTTCATTTGGCATTGGCTGACCGCGCAGGTGGTGAGCAGATAAAGTGAACAGCTAGATTACTATCCAAATTCCAAACCACTGGAGCCCAGGCAGCAGCAGCCAACCAAGCAGAAATAATTCCTTTTTGATGCTCAGAATGGATGACAAAAGCACAAGTGGAACTGCTAGCATTCAAACATTCGATCCCAGGAAGCATGCATGGCATGTACAACCTTTGTCATACATGGTGATGCAGGCAGCCATATTCTGAAAAATAATTGTTATTATTGTGCACCTTTGTTTTCCATATTTGTTGTTATTATTGTGCACCTTTGTTGTCCTTACTTGCACAGGGAACAGGGGCGCCACTTCCAGATCCTTTGTTCTATTCACAGGAGAGTTTTGGCCAGGAACAACAGAGTCACTAATGGCACGTGACAGCAGTTCAATCCTGACTGTGCTGCCATTGACTGCATTCATTTCAAGGTCATAACCTTGAATAATCTTGGGCATTCTTGCTGGTGGGCAATTCTGCAGCGCTATGGAACCGTGAACAAGCCACCAAATCGATAGATCCAGGCCACAAATTCGGCTGTCCCTGCAACAGAGCTTACTGTTTCGCACGGCTTATGGCAATTGGTCGGAGTTCTCCAGCAAGTGCATACATTCCTGCAGTGACAACATAGAAAGTGTTAACCACCGCAAGGACTCAGCGCATTCGCATGCATGCTGTCCAAAGGCACACCCACGTCGCCACTTCCTAGCCATGTGGCCAACATACAGCATCCTGACCGGCAGGTTGGATGCAGAGATTGTCCACATTGAACACCTCAAAGTTTGTGCACCAAAGTTAGCGGACATGACACGGACACCAACTCTAGCCACCGCCACCGCTTGTCCACTTTAAGACCATGTTTCTGAACGTACCTATAGCGCAGCAGCACACCCCAGCAGCTACCATCCCAAAAACAGATTGAGGTAGCTCGCCCAGCTCCTGTTCGGTGAGTTTCAAGTTGTCCCGATCTGCACAAACGCAGTGTATGCGTAACTGATCGCCGTGCATAGGCGAGGCCGAGGAGGCGCCGACAGCTGGAGCCCTATGGCCTGTTTGATGATCAGTGTACGCCGAATTCAGCGCCCCGCGGCCGGCTCACATGCAATCATGGTGTAGGCCCCGTAGAGCAAACACAAGGCGCTCGCAGCCATGAAGAGGCCACCCAAACCCATGGCGTTCGGCGGTGCACAACGGGAACGAAGGAGGGGCACGACGGGCAGTGCGTACTCCAGGTTTAGGGGTTTGCCTGGTTTCGGTTCCCGCCGTAACCTACCTACCGAAAACCAGCTGTGTTTAGGGGCCGCGCAGAAGTTTGGGGCGCATATACCGCGGCTGTCCTCTGCTAGTGTGCATTCATGTGGCCATCTCCGATGTGTTTGTTCCGACGGGAAAGGTGCCTGTGGTTGGCACTGTCGGCTACCCAAGCTCTGCTCACCAGAAAAGGCGGCCCCCAGACGCTCCCTAGCAGTTTTTGGCTGATCGGCATCAGTCAAACTGCTCGAGAGTGCACGTCTGTGGCAACAGGTGTGTTCACCCGTCTCTTGTTGCCTGAACCTTTGTCGGCGACCAATAGACACTCCTCGACGCTCAGGTTAAACTTGGATCCTCGATGGCATTGCTTGCCGTGTTGGGTGAGAGGCAATCTTGAAATCTTGTTGCTGCAGGGGCTCCAGGTTGAGCGCACAGTGAATGTTAATGTACCTAGTCAGGGCATCCTACGAATTGATACAGTTGTGTGCATGGGCGTGTAGGCTGTGCACACCGAAATCCAAGGAAAGAAACGAAACTGAGGATGCCACAAATAATGCCAATATGGTGTAGTCCCAGTGCACGCAATAAGAATGGAGTCAATAGATGCAATGCGTAGTTGCCCATGTCTTCCAGTGTTTCCAAGGTAGAGCTTTCCTGGTGTCTCTTCAGCAAGCCCAGCAAAATTCTGTTTGCCAGCCATGTCGTGCTGACACTCAGGCCAAAGGTACCATGAATGACTGTGCCTGGGTATCCAAAGAAAGCTGCCTGTACTGCCCAATATTTTGCATCAATGTGTTGTTTAGCAGAAGTCTAATGCTTTGCTGGTCTGTGCCCAGTATTGGAGCCATGGCTCTCGCATCAATGGCTATCACCTCCCGTGGTGTTTTCTGAAGGGCAGGGGGCCCCAACAGGTAGTGCTGAAGCTCAAGTGCAACATCTTGGCTTTGGCTTGACATGGCTGGAGGCTACAAAGCGACTACACATTGACTGATCACAACATCGTTGTGTTTGGCGTGCTGTCCTCTGATCAAGCTCTTGGCAGTGCCTTGCGATCCCTACCTGATACTGGATTTTAACAGCAGGGATGTCTCTATCATGCAGCACTTTCCTGGCTGAAACGTCGTGGGCCAGGCTTGCCATACAGCACATTGCAGAAGTTGTTCCGGCAACGGCAGGTGCGATTACCATCTGCAGGACTGCTTATGGCGTTGTGCTGTGAAACAAGTGGACGCTTGTCAGTCCCTCCCTATTGAACAAAACTAAATCGCTCTTTTAGTTTGATGTCTGCAGAAGGTCATGGCATTTGGGCCAGCTTGGATGGCAGCAATTAATGTGACACAAGAAGAGCAATGGAATGCTGTGGTGGTTCAGCATTTAGGGTTCACAGTCTCCAGAGTGAAAGGATCATTTGTGCGGGCCAAGGGAAAGCCTCATACCTGTTCTTGTTTTTGTTGTGGTTTGTCCATGTGTGCTGTTTGTGTGCTTTAAAGATTATACTGGGTTTGAGCATACCTGACATTTATGCCTGCTTGGGTGCATGGCTGAATCAGATCCGTCTGTTCAATGGGAGAAATGTGACTCGTGTAAGGGCAAGCAAGATTATGGAAAACAGCTTTCAACTCATGATCCCAGCTGCTGAGGTGAAGGCCAAGAAGTTGAAGAGCAAGGTACAGCTCCTTTCACTCTGTGGCTGAACGATGTACATATTCTGTTGCTCATGATGCTGCTGATGTGCGCACTCCTTGGTGCTTATTGCACACCTTCTACTGTTGTGTGACTGATGGTTTGATGGTGCAAGAACGCTGTTTTATCGTTTTTGATCAGCATGGTGCAGAAACAATCATTTTGCATTTTCACGTGTGGGTGATTGTGACCACAGAGTTTTATTTGCTTCCAGAGCAGCAGGGTAATCAGCACTGTGGGGCTGGAGCGATGGGGACAGTTTTTCGATCGGTGGATTTTGTTCCAAAACGATGATATAATCATCATAAACAAGCCTGCAGGCGTTGCTGTGCAGGTATGACACTTGGAGAGATCAATATACTTGCTGTCACATCTTGGCCTTGTGGTTTTGGGAAGGTGACTGCACTGTTGGCTTCAGTCAGGTAAAGGAGTGAGGGTGAGCTTGGACAAGATACTGAAGGCAGTGTGGGAGAGCAGGGGAGAAGAACCACCAAGGTGATGCTCATGTGCACATCCTCGCTGAGTATGGCCATCAAGGTTGGTGAGCCCCTGCCTTGCCACCTGTTGACTCATTTCAATTGTGCCCATGCATTGTCCAGCCTTGCTGGGCAACAACATGTATGTTCTCAGCTGTTTTCAATCCTGTGCTTGCTGAGGTCCTGGATGCAAACTTCGGATTTTGCACCTGCAGATTCGAACCATTTGCATTTTGCGAATGTATTGAATTTTCGTGTGTTGCAGCCCAAACAACAGGGTCACAGCTAGGAACCCAATGCCTATTTCACAAAGCTGCCTTTGCCCTTTCGCTCAGCACTCTTTAAATGGCCATGTGGTTGTCAGAAACAAATGGCATTGGAAAACTGAAATATAAGGTCTTGTCCACGCTTGAAGAAGATAAGCGAGTTTCAACAACATCATGGGGTTTCAGCCCTAAAGAACATTGTAATGGGAATTTGTGTGGAATCGCTGTTGTTCATGATCGAAAGAATGTCATTCTTCTTTGTTGGATGTGGTGTACTTGTGGTGAGCACTATGCAACATAATTGTGACACCCATCAATACGGTTTGAAGCAGCATGTGCTGTTGAGAATGTTGCTGGTACTGATGGAGATGGTCTGCGCAGCTTCTTAACGCATTGAACTGACTTGACACGTATGAGGGTTTTGCAGGCTCGTTCACAGGCTGGACAAAGTCACCAGTGGTTGTATGGCTTTGGCCAAAACTGCCAATGCTGCAACATGGCTTTGTGAAGCATTCATTGGTTCAGCAGCACAAAGCTGTATGTACAATGCATGCAAGGTCTATTGGGCAGTTGTTGTTGCAGGGCCAGAACTTCAGAACAGGGGTTGGATTCGTGCTCCTGTGAAGGTGGAGGGTGTGGATGTTTCGGCAGAGACACATTACGAGGTTAAGGCTGTTGCTCACGGGCTGGCATGGGTACAGTTGAAGCCTGTGACAGGGAGAAAGCACCAGTTGCGGCAGCATTGTGCCTTCAACCTTAATTCCCCCGTGCTCGGAGATAGACGGTATGGAAGGACAACAGAATCACTGCCGGTGAGATGGTCGCATGCCGGCGAAATCGAACCTGATAACGTACACATTTTGGGGGCCTGTGAACGTATTGAAGTGGCTGTTGTTGCTTTTGAAGACATGATAGAATCTCCACCACTAATAGTGGTGTGTGGACGCGAGGCATCCAATAAACGAAAGTTCTCTCTCAAAGCTGTAAAACAGCCCGTTGTTTGGTAAGCTGCGTTTCTTGAAACCCAGCGAAAACTGCTGCACCGCCTGGGTAGCATGCAGCTTTCCACAAAGATGTTGCACCATTGCCGCCAAGTTTCAGCAAAGAATACTGCCATACCAACGTCTAGCGCGTCATGGCCCTATATACGTGCGACGCTCATGTCCAAATGCGTCTTTCAATTTGCAGGGGCATGATCAAGGTCTACAGAAATTTATTCGCAGCTCAGCTGACGGTGGCGCCCCCGCCACATGCACCGATGACCAATACATTTGTGCTCTGGATGGCAGCATAGCACATTACGGCACTGCGCTGTCCCTTGTGTGTGTAATAGTGTAGCAGTAGTTTATTCCCATCATGCTGTATGATCCCTGCCGAGGTCCGAATGCAGCAATGTCATTTGGCTGACTCGGTACTGACCAGAGTGCCCTGTGGCCAGGCAAAGATGTTGCCACGTGTCAAGAAATTGATGGCACCCAGCAGCAACAAGCACATGATCCATTTGCATGCACACGAGTTGACGCTTACCATTTGCGGTGGGCAACCTGTGCGTGCAGTTGCCCCGATCCCAAGGCACATGAAGGTTGTCTTCGATAGCATGGCATGGAGGGTACCAGAAGGATGACGCCGCTTTGACAGGGGCACCCTCAGCTCTGCGCATTTCTATGAGTGTGATCGTTGTCTGACTATGTTCGACAGAAATGGCGGCCCCTCAATTTGCACCGGGGTGGAGTTCAATGATGTTGTGTATTTCTGCTGCTTCCATGGCTCTGTGAGTGTTTTGTTCACACAATCGTGCCAGAATGCAATATGCTGTGCTATGCCATGTGATAAGACCTTTATCCAAAACGCCTTCCCTGAGTCAGAATCCATGGCTGCGCCAACAGTTTAGGAGATAAGGCGAATTTGTCCCGAACATATTCCCCCCATCGTGGAGACCCTCGCCCAAAAGTGATAGCACGTCCATTATCACATAAAGCATTACATCTTGATTCGTTCATCGGCCAATGAATGCATGAACAGAGAGACCTTCAGCAGAAAGGTGTCCCTCTATTCTGGCCTGCATAGCCCACCTACTATTCTCTCTGCATGGTTGCCCCAGTCATTTTATGGATTGACCCTTTTCTAATTGAGATCCCATCGTTCCCTACTGTCCCCATCCCACAACTCACCCATAACCTACCTCTAAGTCAGCTCCCTATATCTGCCTATCTGCCAGCGTTCCTAGGATCCCTGCCCATTACCCTCTTACCATCTCAATTCCTCTGCCGCCTCTACCCGCCCTTGCCCTGCCCCAACCCCAAACTATCTCCCACACTTGTGGCCCACGCCTCTTATTCCCATTTGCCCTGACATGACGCTCCTCACAATGATTGGCAAATTACGCCACCCACGCTGGCCTATCTGAACCAGTGCACCCATCAGCTCGCCTGCATCATCACATGTTGCGCTCATACAAAGCAAATTTTGTGAACGAAGGCGACTCAGCTGCGAGTCTGCACAATGTCCACCACTGTTTCTCAGCATATTGGGTATTGGCTTTGTGAAATAGAAGCACTGTCAGCATGTTCACAGACTGAGAGTCATCAGGGATCACCATATCAGTTGGCCATGTTGCATTAATCCTTGCACACAAAGGACGACTACACCTATGTTGTCCCCTCCATCAGGCTGCGTCTTGGAACTCGTGTATCTTGAAGATATACGTTGACACCACGTAAATTGCTCCAGCTATTTGGGCTCATCAGGTTTCTTCTTGTGAGCTGTCCTACCCAATTCACTGTCGTCACGATCGGCCTGCTCAAATACACAGCGTGTTAATGTTGGTGATTCCTTTGAGTTGTTGATAATTCTTGATCTGATAAAGCAGCCTGCCTTGAGGTTAGTTCGACACTCACTTTCCGTTTGCTAGTCTTTCTGGACTTTGACAGCTCTTGCCACTCCTTGAGCTGTTTGTCTATCTCCGTGACCACTTTTTTTGCCACCTTTTTGGCGCCTTCCTTGCCATACTTATCAATGTTGGTGAGCGTCTCCACAATGTCTCCCGTGCTTGATGTGCTGCCCTACAGCACCACACCACAGCAAAGGCGGATGAGTCACAACACTGCTGCAAGCTGGTGCCTGTTCCATTACAGTGTGCTGTTTCTCTACATAGTTTCCAAGACTTTCTTAGCCACGTCTTGGCTTGGCATGTTGTGCCCCTCAGGCAGTGCAACACAACATGCAATGCCATGCATTACAGCTGGCAGCATTGGCACAGGGGACGTTGTTCGTCCCGAGTTATTGGCACCCAATCGCCACCAGCAAGCCCCATTGCAAACCACTATAATTGTTCTAATTGTTGCATGCTACAGATTCAAATTGTTCAGTCAAGTGTGATCAGCACAACCTGCAACCTGCGCTGCGCCAGGAGGACATCCCATTCAGTTGGGTTTGTCCATTGCCAATGATTGTCGAATCCTGGGCAGTAAGCAACAGAGTGCAACAAGAATGTGCTTGCCTCCTCCATTTGGTGCTGCTCAGCAGCTGACTCTGCCACCTTCAGCAGGTATGCATCAAAGGAGCCGTGCTCCGCTCTGAAGGCCGACCTCACTGCTGCCAAGGCCAGCAGGCCAGGCAGGAAAAGCAGAGGTGCATCTGACAGCATCAAAGCATCGGCAGCTCCATATGCTTTCGCTTGGATGGCCCCTTCAACTGATTCCCAGTCCAGTTGAATAGCGTCTCGGAACTCAGCGTCGCGCTTTACAAGATCTGTGATGCGCTGTAGTGTAGTGCAGAAAGCGCCATGGTCAAAAAACACGCACACATGTGATCAATAATTTTGCATGTGTGCACTGTCCCAAGCTGAATTCACTAGATAAGCATTGAGATAATGGTCTTGGAAATGGAACTGTCCAAGCAGCAATCCTTCCGATCGACAGAGAAAATATCACTGGTCAACACAACAGTCAAGGAGAAGATCAATCCAGTACATGAGTATGGTATGAGACCTGCAATAAGGTCGCCCACGCATGTGATGCCGACTGACGTGGCTCACCATTATGTGACCATCGATCGCCTTGTATGGCAAGTGCACCAAGATGTCAAAACCAAGAGCTTTCAGCAGAGTGGTCTCAAGCCCAAGCAGATCTTTCTCCTTAATTCCATTTACTAATTTGGACAGCTCAAGAGCGCTGATGTACGCCTCCTCTGTCTGCAACAAGGCACAAAGGAATTTTGCGCAACAGAATGTGTCAAGGCTGTGATCAAATGCACAACGATTGTGCCTGCTGTTCAATGCTGATAGGCTTCTCATAACTGCCCCAATTCCAGATGTGCAAACACAGCACAATAGATTCCATCACAATGACCCCCAGCAAAATAGTTGCAGTCCTGATGACAACACTCTGAGCTCAACAGATATCAATATCGATGGTCCTTGTTGCCTAGAACAGCACCTTCACCAGCAGAAATCGCTGGAGAAATATGATTACCTTGCAGGCACAATACAAACACACCATCGCTATCTTCAACGGATCATACTGGTGCTCAAGTATGCTTCTCTTCAAGAAGAATCTCTTAAGGTAAACAATCGCTGTCCCCTGTGACCAAAATGCACAGATACATGTGGAAGACCATGGTTCAATTTTATTGGGCAGGTGCAAGATGCCCAATGGGCCACTTCGCAAAGCGGTCACCATGCCTGCAATCAAAGAGCAGCCTGCAGCATGTGGACTACCTGCACTGGTACACCTGTCGTGTTAACACAGGTGCGATATTGTGGCCACCACAACATTACATGCCATGGAATCTGCAGTGCAGGGTAAACTGCAATCTTTGAATGCCACTCCACTATATTCCCACCCTTATTGACAGGTGATGCTGCCTTGATCGACTATGTTGTGACAGTCGCAGGGTTCAAGGCAACTGCCAACAGTGCCATCACCTTGAGGACAGCCACAACGCTGGCCCCTAAACTGAGACCATCACCTGAACCCTTGAAGAGCGCCTCTTTAAGCCATCCACTGACCGACACATGTGCTGGATGCTTACAGCATGGTAGTTGATCAACTTCACCTCCTGTTCAACGGACAGAGGAGCTGCACAGAAACGCAGCCATTCATGTCTCATGAATGATGATAATAACAACAACGATAAGAACAAGAACAAGAACAACAAAAACAAAAACACAACCTACTGCCCTGCATTGCCACCAACTTCAGTCCACAAGTGTGCCACCCTCAAGCAGATGCTAATCATCTGTTTGCTTTCTGGATTGACAGGAAGCCAACTCAAAGGCTCTGATGGGCACTGAATGTGTGGAAAACAGAAGCGTACAAGATGAACTTGAAACTCCTGCATCCTTTTTGCGCTCTTCCATAAGATGAATGGCTTCTTTGCTCAATTTGGTCCTCATGTCCATCTGCACAAAATGTCCACCGAGCTGTGCTCAGAACAGCCCACAATTTGCCCGAGCAAAATGCTTGGCAGCACTGCACCTGCGAGATTATCATTGTCAGGGATGTTGTACATTGTTGGGAACGTTGTTGGCAAATGAGGGGGCCCCATTGTTGCTAACCATGCACCTCACGACAATCATCCAGCAAGCCTTTTCAGCAACGATGTTACTTCGCACATCGTGGTGTTCTTGGCCATCCGTACAGAGTGCACACATCACGAAGCAAGCCACAGGCCCACAAGACAGAAATCCCTTGCCAAGTTGGCATATGTAGGAGTCGAGCTTGTGTAACACAAGCACACAATGAGTACACATGCCCCAACCGTTACCAAGGCAAAGAGAACCCACGACAGAGCGGAGTCCGATGTAGGCTCCCTCCCAGAGAATGGGGGTGTGTCCTTTGTGCTTGGTTGTGCATTCGTGCAAGAGTCCAGAATCACTTCACACCCTATTTTGGGGTGGACTGGCACGATCTCAGCCTGCTGGACACTGTGGCCATTCTGTGTCGTGGTTTTAGCTCGCTCCAGATCCAGGAAAGATCGCGGCTACACACATATAGGGCGAAGATGACAACCATATTACCGGCTTAGGTGAGCTGGCAAGCGCACATGCGCCAGTAGACACAATCTCGATCACAAATACAAAGAGCCCGCGGGACAGGTGAAAGCCACAAAGTTCGATGGCAAAAGCGCCAGTGATTTGGGTAGTTGCGCCACGCAGGGTGCAAAGCGAATATCAGAAATCAGCCCTGAAGCTCACAAGGGTCTCCGAGGTGAACAACCACCGCGTTGTCTGGGGCGACTTGGTGAATATCATGTTCCACCCCTTCAACGCCCAGCCCGCTGCCCCCAAGGCTCGGGTCACAGGTGCGTTTCAAGTGGGAGGATATTATGTGCCACGCCAATGCCATGTCACGGTTCATCAGCACCACAATTCGCTGCAAATTCGCCCATCTTATCGGTACATGAGGTACAAAACCAGCGGCTTGGGTGCGCAAGCCAACGACCGGGTTGTCCAAAGCGAGGATGGGTGACCCTCAGCGAGACTACGTCCTGCTGATCAAACCTGCAGTTCTGCAAACGAGAAGCAAAGAGAAACTGGCTGGAAAGCTTACTGTGTCCAAATTGGCCCTTAAATGGGAACCCGAGGTCCTGTCCGTGGCACAGCCTGTCCGGCTAGAAGTGAAGTTTATCACAGGTGCTACAGACGCTGAGGGACGTAACTGAAAGATGATGTCCATGTCTTGACAATGGTTTGTGTGCCAAAGTTCCAACAGAAAGAACGAATTGGGCAGGCTCGGGAGTGGGTCTGCCACTGTGGGACAGGATCAAAAGATCCTTTTGAGGATCTACGGGCTTAATGGGAACATTAGCTTAATGGGAACATTAGCTATGGATGTTCCTGCTGTATCTATAATCTTGACTGGCTCTTGGAGAATCTTCTGTTGCCTTGTTGAAAGTGGAAGTTCTGAAAATCCAACTCAGCAGATTCTGTGGTGCATTCCACCCCACGAGTGGTATGGAGCCAATACCTCAGCACAGTACTCACGCACCCCATCTTTGATTTGTGTGTGCTGCCTTGTGCCAGTTTTCGTGAACAACTGGTGCTTTGTCTCAGCGGTCGTCGAAAATCAGGTTAAAGCATGCAGATGTGGCTTTTTCTCAGGTCAACAGAAGACAAAGGAAAAGCCGATGCTGCGCTTGACAACGAAATCCACTAATTTCATCTTTCAGTTCTCAAATTTGCCTGACAGAGACAACGTTATAGATATCCTTTCTTCTCTGCTACAGTCCAAAGATGGACAGGGACCAAAGGCGGGGTCTTCCAAGAGGGATGCAAATCAATCCAAACATGGAGAATCCTCTGGGCATGGCATGACAGCAAAGAGGCAGATTCTGGACGCTGACAGGTAGCAGATAGAGTACCTTGATATGACCGCACATGCTTGAACAATGTGAGGTCTGTCCATCCAGCTCCGACACGCACCAAGGATTGCTTGCAGGATGGTTGCCATTGCTGGCACAGCGCCACCCAGTGCCAGGATATCAGCTTGTGATCAATGGCTTCATTGTACTTTCTCATCCTTGTGGTGGCCATGATGCCACATTTCAGGATTTTGGAAGAAAGTGTGGTGCTGGAAGAGTGCCCCTGCCCTGTGCCAAAGAAGCTAAAAGAAATTTTTGCAGTCCAGCTGTAAGGTCAAAGCCTCAGCTAGAGCTAAGCTTGGGTTGTGTGCCTGTTCACAAAACCAACATGCAGGGCATCCTTGGAGGAGCATGGTTTGCAATCCTGTTTTGCTGCTTCTGGTTTCTATTTTGGACTAATCCATTCCAGTATGGGTTGGACGTTGGCAACCACATAAGTGTTGCCTTTCCTGCGACATAGCCAGACTTTTCAGGCATGATGGTCTTTAGCTAACTGGCTGGACTGCATAGCTGCTGCTGCTTCTTGGCCAGAAACAACATCCCCAAAGTTTGATGGATATCTGTCACCTTCTGATCTCAGAACAATACTTGCCCCTGAGATTTTTTTGGACAATTGGTGCAATGACAGTGACACATAGCCGATGCCGACTTGCAGCGACACCCGAGAGTTGTACGAGGCGCTTGTGTTGGGTGGGACCATCTCAGAGTCAGATTTCTGGAGGGCACGCTCCCAATGGCACAACACAGACAAACAGGCTCCCAAGCAGAGGGTTGGGTGGGCTACAGCATTAATGGCAGATGTGACTCCCAAAGATGATGGCACTAAAAAAGTGAGGCTGAACCTTTCAGCCCAGACGATTCAGCAGATATTTGCAGAACGACCATGGGTTCACAAATCGTACTCAGAGCTTGTTCCGCACATAATGGATGACAAGGAGTTTTGGACAAGGTTCTGCAAGCACGAGTTTGCCTTTGAGGTAGGACCACAGCCATGCGGTCATTTTTAAGTGCAGCTTTGGGCCTAGACCGAGCTCTGGCTCTGCACCAGCTGTCTCGCAGTGGCCCAGTATGGTGGCAGCACTGGGACGACCGCAAATGCTTGTGCATTGGTTGGGTTCCTTTTCAGTACATGCACATTGCTATGAACTGCTGTAAACAAATTCTCTCCTCTAAGAATACTCTGAAGGGCTGCTGATTGGAATGGCTGAAATGGAATTTCCTTTTTTACTGTCAACTGCATCCTGTTACCTACACAATTGTCAGCACAAACAATACCCTGGCGATGCTGCAAAATTTTACTGAATGGGTTCAGCATAACATATGGGTCCCACTGTGCCAAGGCGCCTGGGAATGCTATGTGGGCTTCTGCAATCCCAAAATAGCATTGCAGCTTACAATCAAGCTGCCAAGAGAATGCAACATCAGTGGAAGAACCACCCTGCTCAGGACTGATACCAAAAAGAAGAACTAATTCAAGTGAAAGTAACCTCGAACTCCAAAGTGCACCATTTGATGGACTTTACTCTGTCTCCAACAAACAATAATTGCAGTTGTGCTGACATGATACTGGGAACCGATGCCTGTGGGCTGGCACCAACACCGTCATCGCAGTTACTAATGTTGCAGTTTGCTCCAGTCTGTTCTAGTCATTCAATTGCCAGACCCATTGCCATCGTGAATAGTCGTTGGCTCAAGAAAGTGACCTGGTGATGATCACATCGCATGTTCTGGGGCGCTGTGGTTCACAACAGGCGAAACTGCAAAAGATGGCAGAGGGGAAGCAGCGAGAAGCCTTTGAGATTGACGATGAGTATGCTGATCTCTTTTCTGAGCCTGCCCAAGCAGCTGAGGAGCAGCACACCGCAAGAGTTAAAGCAAGATGTGTTGATCCGACAGTAAACTTGGTGGCGAATGATGACGATAATTTTGGAGAGGGCTATGGTGTTCTGCACAATGCTCGGCGGGTATGCATCGTGGTTCTCAAATACCTGTACATTAATCAGTGACAAATGTGTTTTTCCCGATCCGGATTGAGCCTGTTGCTCTTTCATATCACACTGTATTGCATTGACACGTGTTTCCTGGCTGCTTTCCGTCTAGCTCTTTCGAGGTTATTCATGGCCTGTTGCTTTGGACGACCATACCTTAAAAAGAGTCGTTTTGGAAACACAGGCTCACGAAGCGGCAGCCCCCGGAGTTAGCCATGACATCATCCGCGGTATCAATCGACATGGGACGGTCATATTGGAAGGAGTTCCAGAAGAACCAACTGAAGATGCTGCCACTGCTGCAAGAAGGATGGCCATGGAAAGGAGGTCAGAACTTCAAAAGTTCGCGCAAGTGAGTTGAGCACTGATATTCTTTTCTCTTCCAAAACACACCCGTGTGTCAAGCTCATCAGCTTTGCTGTTGTATCTTTGTTCAACGAATTCTATGGTTCTTTCACCATCGGATCTTTTCTATTCATGGAAGTGTTGTTATCAGCCATCGTACCTCATGATGTACAGCAAGCATGAAACCCGGTGGTACAAAGGCCTGTTTGCTTGCCTCAAATGCTGTGAACAGGAATGGTATGCCTTTCAGCACACAATGTTGCGCAGTGCTCGCGTGGTAACTCCACCTGCAGCAGTGTGCGCAGCTGTGCTTACAGTCGCTGTGTCCAGGTCGGTCTGGCGGAGATTGACGATGAATCCTTCCAGCAAATAGAGCAACGTGAGCGACACGCCCTAGAGGACCTCAAGAGTGCTCAAACTGGAAATTTTGTTGGATTGAACATCAGAGGCTTGCACGACTTCCTCCATGGCCGTGTCGAGGAGCCGCAAACTTCCACACCAGCAGTAGGAGGCAGCGGCCTGCGTGGGCAGAACAGGCCAGCCACTTCTGCCCTTGAAGCATTAGACAGACTTGATGGCAGTTGTCTTGTCAGCATGCCACCGCTTGGGAAGCCAGCCTCACAGGTATGCTAATCAGTGGTCTCGTGCAGGCAAGATATCGGTCCAGGCACCTGCGTGTTACCTTTGTTTTCTGAAGTTGATTGCATCAGATGCAATATGTCCCATTCAACTGCGCGATAGCACTTCCTTTTTTACAATGACGGTGAGTCGTGATTGATGGGGGCAGGAAAGGCGCAACTATTTGACAATTTTATGCTCAGGGAATAGTACGGACATGAATTCGTCATGGACAGCCCCTTGTGTGCAGATGTTCCCTGTGCAAGAAGCTATTATATCTGTGGCCTCGCTGCAAGCATTTGCACAAGGGCGTTGCAGCACACTCTTTGTATGCAATTTACCTATGTTTTGTATGATCGGCAGGTACTATGGAATCCGAATAGTGCGCTTCCAATTCCAACAATCCACGTCGATGGATGCTAGAACATTCATGACCTGAACACCAATTAACGCCTCTTTGTCGTGTCGGACAGTGTAAGGAGCCTAATGCGGAGTCGAATGATTGGCCCACTGTGCCACGTCTGTCTCACTTGTAGCGGCAAAATAGCTCTGGAGCAGGGCCTCTGTCATCAACACGGGCATTGTCGACAATGATGCTAATGCTTTGGTCCCATTGTCCCTCAATAGTTGATTGCCTTGGGATTGTTTCAGTTTCTTTCAGCACTGCATCGCGTTGCCAAGGAGCCCCTGTGCATACGATTGTGCAGAGTCCCGCTAGCGCTGACTTCAGCAATATCTTGTTGATCCTGGACCGCTTCTCATCCGCCGCAGGTCCTCATTAACATGTTCCATGGTCGGAGCGGACGGTCTGACGACCCTGGCTCGGCTGAGATGGAGCCAGGGAGCAAAGCGGTTGATGTGGTCTCGCCTGAGGACCAGCGGCTGTTGCGAAACAGGGCGTTGATCACCAACGAGCTGCTCAGGCACTTTTGGGCCTCGTTCCCTGCCAGTTCACCTGCCCGCAAGGCGAAGGCCGCAAAATTGAAATCTGAACTCTGGAACATGCACAAGAGGTATTCTCACCATGTTTGTTGCAGACATGCGGCTAGAGATCTCTCCCTGTCTGAATGCCGGTTTCTTGATTTCTGCAGACTGGAAATCACCTGCAAGCTGAAATTCTGGCAGCAGTGCTGCCAGGGACGATGATGTCGGCATAGCTATTTCAGAGGTACTTTGCAAAGGGTGCAGGAGTAGCAACACCTTGCACGTGTGTGCTTTAACGTTCAGGCCATCCACGCTGCGCCACATTCCTATTTGGCCAGCGTGATGCAGAACGGACGGCACGCATGAAATGCTTAGCGTGCATACGGCGTTGGATCAGGTGGAATATTTTCTAAATGAAGCGACTGCTGGAATACAGATTTTTACAGTATGATGCGCATCATTTGGATACCGTGAGCTTGATTCCCCAGCAAACGAAGGTGGCCAACCTAATTTGCCAAGAGGAGTCTTGTGTCTCGCAGCCAACGAGATTGTTGATTTTCCAAGCGCAAAGTTGATAGTGTCAACATCGTGCTGCTGATGACGGCCTGAAGCTTCTGTGTTCATAGTGGCCCTCGTCCTGATGTTGACGGAACTTTGCTGAAATTTGATTTTTTGTGCTGTCTCCACGCAGCCTGCTGGAATTGCGGGAAGACTGCAACGGCCCTGCGCGTCCGTACATTCTTCAAATCTTGAAGCCCCTGCTCTCTGCGCTGGAGGCAGCCTTTGAAAAATATGATAGAGACGCAGTCCACCGTTAATCGTGTTCCACCACAATCGCCTTTCCGTTTGAGAGCTGGCATCACATCAATTTCATCAATTTCGCTTCTTTCAAATCCTCAAGCCCATGCGTTATGTCCCCCCTTTCAATGCGTCATTTTGCCTGAAGGCGATTTTCCACGAAATGTGAAAGTTGTACTCTGTACAAGTGACAATTGCCTTCTGTGGCGAGGTTTGCACGTCAGTCTCTTGCAACTGGCAGTACTTGGTTGCAGGTCGACAATGCTTGGTGACCAGCATATCTGGGTCCTCCAAACCATCCAGCGAACAATGCTGACTCATTCGAAGACCCAGCAAATAGAGACGCTACTTATCGTTTCCCACAGATTCAAACTGGCATTTGCTCCCAAGTGACCGAGACGTTGGCGTACTACTGTGCATTGCCACATCTTGCATCGGCGCAGAAAGACAGATACAATGCCGTTGGCGTGGCGGCAGCAGGCCATGCATTCCAATTCGCAAATATGTGCGACAAGAGCAGACGGAGGCAACTGAAGGTACCTAACACTGCTTTTGCAGCACTTCTTGTGGATCGCGATGTAAAGTCTTCTGAATAGACACAAGGTCACAAGGTACAGAGCCAGACGCTGAACATTGTTAACTGCGGTTCGTGTCCAGTTCCTGTTCCTTCTGGTGAGACCCACAAGAACAAACACAAGCATGTGCAATGCTGCCAGTCAGTTCCTGACAGAATGCTCCCTCCATCTATGGCCAGAGTCCACATGCAGCTCATGAATGAAAGACACAACTCGTGCTGGGCCAAACTGTCATAAAAGCAGTGCATGCAAGAACGGGCGAAAATTCCATCTGACAAGGGGGCGATTGCTTGCAGTGAATGCACAACTGCACTGCTGCGGTGGTGCACCTGCCACTCTGAGGTGTTTCACAGCACTCTGCAACCTGGACAGCGCTCTGTGCTCTGTTTAACGCCCTGTGGCTGCCCTGGGCCCAAGTCTTGCATGCGCTGTTGTTGGGTGTCCAAAATGCATCCTGCAGACCATACACCAATCCAATTATCACCTTAAACGCACGTGCAGATCCATTGTCGGGGCCGCTGCACTCCAGCACTGGAGTCCACTAGCGCAGGCAAGGATGGAGGGATGCCCGCATGTAGGGCTTCAACGCCTATGGTTCTGCCACACGCTCTTGTTTCCAGCAGCAACAAACCTTTCAGGATCATGTTCCTGGATATCCTTGGATACGGCACACAATACTCACCCCCTTTATGTTGCCACCCGAATGATTGTGTGGCAGCCACTACAGATTCAGCTTTGGGATGTCCATGCTCTGCAGAACATCGACAATGTGTCCAGTCTCTGGAGGGTATTCTCAAAATACTACTGATTGTAAGCAAAATCGGAGGGAGACAGTCAGAGCATCGCGCTCAGCTCCAGCCAAAACCACCCCTGCATGGTATTGGCGTACATGTCATGCACATTACAACACTGGCAATGCTTTTGCTTGCCTGTCAAGCCCTAAACACGCTTGTTTCCTGCTAGCGGCCCCAAACTATTCCAGATTCGCAGGCCGCCATAGAAAGATATTAATCGCCAGAGCCTGCCGGGCCAAACCAGTTTATTAAGTGCATGAATGTCGCCACAACAGCGTGTGCAACCCTCTCAAGCTGGCATCTGCTGTGCACGAAAAGCTTCTTGGAATGAAATGATCCCGGTCTCAGCACCTGCCAATCAAATCTGGTCAAAATACGGCCTCAAGAAGCAAGGTGGCTTTCGGCACTTGAGCATTCTGGCTTTGGGCGGAGCTGACCTAAGGACGTCCGTGGATGTTTGTGAGCTGGTCAGTGAACCCGTGCCCAGTTTGTGTGCCACCCTTCGGATATCGCAGATTTCCGCAAAGGTCCCTTTTTCCAGTGGTGTTTGGTGCTTTTCCGTGCCTTTCGTGCCACATCAGCTTTGTACCTGCGCGTTTTTGTTCCTGTCCGCACCATATCCGCACTAGCCGGCCGGTTTCCGTGCCAGCCACGGACCATGGCCCGCTGGTTACCGTGCCAGACACGGACCATGGCCCGCCGGTTACCGTGTCAGACACTGGGTAGCCCCTGTGTAAGTTGCGGACAAACGGGGGCACCTCTGCAAGACACGCCCACCTCTAGTGCCAATCAGTGCGGTATCGAGGCCTCAGGGCACGGCGATTGCATCCGCAGAAAACACCCCGGATGGCGTGTTGGACTGCGCCAAGGCACGGTCACGAAGGGGGTTGAACGTTTCAGACCGGGACGGCTTAATCCCTGTGGCGGTGAGAGACAGCCCCTCAACGTGTGCCGTGGCAGAAGATGATGGCTACTGACGAAGAGGAGGGCCCTCCGGGGGCTGCGGACGTGCCCGTTTGGAGCACCCTTTCGCCGCCCCTTAACCTGCATCCGTTCTACTACGGGGGGCTCGCGAACTGCGCTGTGTTCTGGAGATACAGCGCGGAGATTCTGGACAGCGCATTCTGCCGAGAATGCGTTGTTGACCTGAACAACGCTGTGCGAGGCCACGTGGACAGGGAGATCGCAGACTTCGTTGAAGTCCAGGGGGGCGGCCGGAGCCCGGGCAGCGTGGACAAGTCGGTGTTGCTGGCCAAGGCAGCGCAGCTTATAGGCGAGCATCGAAGGTCGCCCTACGTCACTTCGCTGGCGCTGGTTAGGCTGGCGTCGGAGGTCAGTGCGAAGCACGCAGAGCCCAGCAGGGAAGAAGCGTTGTTTAAGCACCCGGGCGGCACCTCCGAGTATTTCCCAACGGTGGATCCGGCCGTCGCAAGGAAATCTTGGAAGTTCTCAGTTGGGAGTGACGAGGGGCAGCCAGCTTCCTCCACGGTAACTTCCTGATGTTGATTGTGATTCCAAAAGGGATTTCGGAGTGCGGAGTCCGAGCGCCAACTCACCAGAAACGCCTTGCGAAATCTGCTGTTGTGCAGCCCCTTGGCCTGGTGCCCTCATGCTTTGCTGTCGGTGTTGTGGCGATTTCACGGTTGTGCCTGCGGTTCACAAACACGTTGCTCAAGATTCTCTCGTCGCAATTTCTACAGGCCAGGATGCGCAGTTTGAGTAGTTTGAGGAAGGCACCACAGTCCTGCAGTTCCTACTCACCGTTGGCTGTTTGATTCTGTCCAGGTCACCTGCACCATCATAAGGAGGCTGGTGCCTTGTGTCACACCACCCATTCCAGTGGTGCAGGTATGGCAGTATCCAGAAAAAGAGTCTGGGACTGCAGTAATAACAGCAACGAAAACCGGGACGCGACCTGGTTTCAACAAAGACTTGAACCGCTCAGTGGTGATAACCTGGGCTGGAAATGCTGCATTTGCTGAAGCAGAGAGCCACATTGCTGGCCAGCATTTGCTGCACGAGTTCAGACCCCGTGCGAACATCCTTCTCTTCAAGGGAGTCCAAAAGATTGATTACTTGGTGTGTGACTCGCTGAATGACAGTGCAGCAGCTCTGCTGCCAATAAACAGAGAGCTTGCTGCAAGGGACTCGTCGTTGCAGATTTTTGTGAAGCAACACAGAGCAGCTGATGAGGGGGCTGCCCTTTTCAATCTGCACCTTGAAGAGGATGTTTCTTCAGCACCATTCTTGCAGCCAATTGGTAAGGCAGTCTACAGGCAAGTTTGCTCTGAAGAGATTCATTGCAGACAGAATTTGGCAAAACGCTGTCCTGCATGTGGCTGTAAGCTCATAAGCCTAAATGCCTGCATCTTCTCACAGAATATTCAGACGCACGCACACTGTGGCCTAGATCACACTGATTCTGTTGGTAAGTTAACTCATTTGGTGGCACTTGCCAGAAATGCTGCGGGATATCCATGGAAAGATGCGTTTTGAATACCTCCAGAACCAGGAAATCTTGCGTCAGCAGGTGCCTGCTGGCCCCAGCTCGGACATTGTGCTTTCTAAGCCTTCCAGCAGTAGCACAGCTCCCAGCCTGGTGGCGATGTCAAGTTGCACTCTGTTTCACTGATACCGCGATAACTTTGGAAAACTTGTAGCTGGTTGATACCTCAGAGATGGATGTGATCCCCTTGGGTAGCAGTGGACAAAAATTGGAGGCGCAGACATGAAAAGAGCATTGGCTTTGTATCGGGTATCTTCCCAGTGAACCATGTTTTGTGCATGGCCTAGTACTCACTATTGTGATTGATAGAATGCCCCACTCAGTGGGCATGTTGGACTGAAAGTTGCAAATCATCGTTAGTGCTTGGATTGTTAACGATGATGTGGTGAACTGGTGAAAGCAAGGGTCATTGGAGAACTGGGCCTCCATAAAATTGTTGACAAGGTGGGAGTTTGTTTGTACAGGTATGTTGCGCAACCTGCAAATTCAGGACACGCCAGACCTAGAAATCGCAAAATCTATGAGAGCAGTCCTTGCTTTTCTTCAGATCAGCAGTGAGGCATTGCAAGGAGATGTGCAAAGCATTGTTCAACACATGCAACACTGGCCCAAGGAGCTTGTCTCCACAGCTCAGGGGCCGAAATTGAGGAGAAAGGACTTTGGAGACCTTCTTGTGGCAGTTACTGCCATCTATGGTTCTGCAGGACAGGTAAGATGGGCAGAACACAGGGTAGCTAGAGCTGTGCATAGGAAGTTGAGCAGCGTACCTCCAGGCTGCAAACGGTGTATAGCAAATGAAACAATGCCTGCTGTCATGGCAGTATGACTAAGCAATATTCCAATTCTTGGTTTTCACCGTATCTGTATGCTTTGTTGGAGCTGTGTGAGCAAATTGTAAGGTGGATTCCTGTCAAAAATTTCTGCTTGATCTCAAATGCCTCCTCTGGCCACAGAATGTGTGGTGGGCAATGCCATCAACAAGTGTTGGAGTGCCAGTCCTTTCCAGCTCGTTTTCACACTCTCCACTTCGACCGATGGTGGTCCTGTTGAACTTGTCTTTGTTCCTTTTGGCAGGGAGCAAAGCTGCTTCTGCTCCATCAGCTCCTATTTGAACCCTTGTGCTCACATAAACCCGGCACAGCACCAAATGCAAGAAGCATCAGAGGCCCATGGTAAGATGATCATTGAGATATAATTGTCTTGTTTCCAAATGTCTCTTTGCTAGTTGACAGTATTTGCCTTGATGTTGCCAGCGATAAAGCGAAATTGTCCATCGAGTGAGTGCACAAAGGTTGTGGATTCTTGCTGTGTTCTGCATGCGTTGCCCTTGGCCATCATCTGTCACCACATAAATGTATGATGCCAGCCCATGTGAACTGTTTTTGCAGTTTAGTTAGCACAGCATGCCAGGTATGGTGTTGTGTCCATAGCAGCTGATCATCCCTGGTTGTGGTTTGGCTTAACTGAACATTCTCTTTGGTGTTCTCGTGGCCATGTTGGTGCAGCATTGGGTGATATCTCCTGGCACAAGCTCTGCACCACTTCCAGTTGAAAGCTGTCAATCTGTTTGGAAAGATACCTTTCTGACCTGCTGGTTACAGGTTGTGCACACAGCGCTGGGTCAACCCAGAACAGGCTTTGCCGTAGTTTGTCTAATGGTGGTGTGCAGTGTATTACAACATCAGCAGACAATGATATTGTGAGTATCTGTGGTGCAGCGTTGCAAGGGAAGAACGAATTGAAGTGACAAGCGATCATGAGAGGCTGCGCACTGCCCTAACGAGCACTATTGCAGAACTCACATCCGGTAGGTTGTCTGTTCTGCTGCGAACTTAGGAATACTGATAGTGAATGGCAGCAGAACAGGGTCCACACTGCGCACTAACAATGAGCTCTACACTGTTGGCACATGGTCTGAGCATTTGCTTCTGTATCAGCGAATGCAGCTCGAGTTGTACTGCATTGCTTTGTGATCATGTGGCTTCCGGTGCAGAAGAGCATGTGGCAAGCCTGGGAATTTGGGGGAAGAGGGAGCAGTACAGTGGGACTGTAGATTTGATGCACTGAGGGAAGGTACAGCATGCCGTCTGTGATGACAGCATGATGCTGGGTAACATGTTGCAGCTGATGTGGCACATGGTAAATGTGCATTCGATACTTTGATGACTGGATGCACCAGATGCTGCGCAGGGGCAACCAGGTGTAAGAAAACGTAGGGTGCTGTAAACAGATTTCAAAGACAAGGACAGCACCATTGTCCTGAGCTCCTTTGAACCAAAGACAATCACCTGAAGAAGGGATAAGGGAATGTGGAGAGAGATCACAGGAGTCTCTATTCGTTTTAGTGTCTTTGGCCACGTTTGCAGCATTTAGTTGGCAATGTGCTGATGGATACTGTGACATTGCTGTGCTCTCTCCAGAGCTAGATGACCGGCCTGAACATCATGAGGTCGCATTGGGCAGTGGCGAGGCAACTGCACATGAAAGTGTTCCACGTCCGAGAATCCACGCAGACTCGCAGGAGAGGCAGGTCTGCATCGAATTTCTGGAGAAATTGAAGCTGTGCATCCAGATTCTCAATGAGAGTGGACTGGATGTGGCCTTGATGGCAGTGGGCCAGGCTTGCCTGGCGGTTGTGCAAAAACTCACTCCAGAAAGCAGTGATGATGTGGATATTGCAGACTTCATGTGGGCGAATTTCTTGCAAAAGCTGCTTTTGCAGTGCCTGATGGACACCGATCCCATCTGTGACTGGGATTTTGTGGTTAAGAGCTTGAGCACGGTGCTGGATGTCCACTTGTTCCCCAAGTATAGGAGACTGAGAACATTTTTGCTCGAAGAGAGACCTGAACAATTTGAAGGGATGGTGCAAATGGCTACCTTGGAGGGAGCTGCCTCGCTTGCCACAAGGTTGAAAAACGATTTGGGGCATGTCAATGCTGCAATACAGAGGTTTTCCATGGCACCTGCAGATGTACATCCAATTGCAGGTACGGTACCAAATGCATTTTTTTGGTCATATCGTGTGTGTACCTATGATGTGTATATGATGTAAATATGATGGGGAGGAATTGTGCAATGTGGCGCAACTTGGCATTGACACTGTTGTCTGCTGGTATATCAAGATCGCATGAAGTGGACACAGGCATTGCTGCGAACGAATGTAGCCGAATGTAGGAATTGATGCGTGGAAATCTTGGGAGGTGTGACCATAGCTTGCAGGTTCATTCGCATTGTTGATAGTGTATTACGAGCACGATATGACGTAGTGCGGTGACTTCCTGGGAGTTGTATGATAGTCATATATTCTCCCCTCCTTTCGCTTGATATGCTGTTGATCGGGAAGCCAGAGCCCAAGCCAGAATCGTTGTGCCTGTGCATGCCACATGCTCCACAAATCCTCAGGCAGTGGCATCTATAGAGGGCTCTTCACTAACAGATGGAGAAAATCGATTGCTGGCGATGCATGTAGCGTTCCTGATGAGCTGTTGTCCAGTACTTGCAACATAATAGGCAAACCTGCTGCATGGACGCATTGTTCAACTACAGCTCTGACTGGACCCTGGCGATCCTGAACGTGTGGCGTTTCAGGGGCCCCACTTGAGGGCCGACAAGTGGCACAACAAGCGCCTCCGCAATATGCCGTTGTGGTGACGACCAGAGGCTTGGATGTGCTCGGCGATCTTGACTTCGTCATCGACTTCACACGCAGCGAGAGCCTGTGGTTTTATTGTCGCTCGGCAGAGCGAGCTGGAACCCTTCCCGAAAATCCCACTGTGCTACAGTCCAGTGCAGTGGGGTCGTCAGGGAGGGTTGTCGCTCGTTTGCCCATGCAACGGAGCCCAGGTCGGCGCTGTGGGAGGCGGCATTTGTCTGACCTGCAGGGCGGGGCTTCTTCCTTTGGCTCAGGGTCCACGAGGACTAGGCCGCATGAGTCTTCCGGAGAGGTGTGAGCGACTCATGGGATTGGCTTGGTCAACATTCTGTGCGCTTCAGATATTCTGGACTGAGTGAAGGGTCCATGTGGCTGTGGTCCTCCTGTACTCTCAGATGCTTTGAGCTCAATATTTCTTGGGCTGCGCTGGGATGCGGGCTTCAATTAGGCTGCTGGGATGGTTGGTGCCGTTTAGGAATATTCAAGAATAGGCCCCTTAGGGTGTGCGATACTTCGGAGGGGTGGGTCGCACAGTAACACGTGCGGTGTCTTGTTGTGGCCCATGTGCCGTCTTGTCTGCAGGCCTGCGCCCCTCAGTGTTCTCCTCTTGTAATGCGGAGCATGGTTTGGTTTGGCTGTTTCGGTTTGAGGATGGTAGGGAAAGAAACTCTGGATGGTAGATCGGTAGGAGGACTGCTTATCGGCGTGCAACGCAAAGCACACTTTCGTGCCCATGTCAGGATGTTGATTTGAACAGCCGTTGCTGTGACCATCGTGGTGGTGTGCGTCCAGCAGGTAGTGCATGCGGAAGCGCTCATGGTCGGATGCTCATGAAGTTCCAGATTCGCCCCCATTGTGGAACAATGCAGGTTAACTACAGTCGCACAATCACCTGCAGTTTGCTTGCTGCACTCTCAATTGACATGCGAATGCTATGCAGTTCAATATACACAGAACTCTAGCGCACAAGTAACCCGTAACCCCAGGAAACACCCTCAGGCTGCTATCAAAGTCGCACCACAATGGTCCAGCGACCACACCATTGGCCCATCTGTCGTCAAGGCTACTTTTTGTACCCACCCCTTGGCTCTCCTTGAAAGTGTGCCTTGATTGCACAGGTCCCATGTTTCCTGGGCAGTTTGCTGATAAACACGTCCAAAGGATCCGAGGCCCCAGCCGTCAAAGCAAGTTCTGCTGACGGCACCTTGCATGCCTGACACACGGCCAACACCCACCGTCATCTCACTGATCATAACACTCGCTACGTGTGTTGTTCCCATGTCCATGTTGTCGCACAAGAGCAATGGGATACTATTCTTTCCGAGATTCCATCATTTTGCCAAGGTGTTTTCACAGATTCGCCACGCTCCTTTCCTCTGCTTCGCTGGATGCGGGAGTATTGGCCAACAAATATGTGGAAGGATCGAGGAAAGCAGCGTTGAAGCATCGAAAAAATAAACCGTGGGCGTGGGCGTGGAGGTGCGATGAAGAGTTCATAGCTGGCGACTAGACTCAGGGGGCAGCGTTGTGCAATTTTTTACCTTGCTGCAAGGTCATCACCTCATGAATGGAATCGTGTGTTCAGCTCAGTGTTGCGCCACAAGTGAATACCCACCCATCCAGCCATAAGGAGGGTGCCACCCGAGACATACGTACGTGCAGGCCCGGTACCGATGACTGCAAGGAGCCGCGACACCTTGCATCCGAGGCATCAGAGGCATAGTTGGATACCACCGTCCCTCCATGCGGAGGGACTGAGAATGGCACAACCCAGCAGGACATTTGTCTCAAAGGCGAGCGAGGCCGCCGCCCCTTTCAACACATCGATTCCACGATGTGCAAGTACATTCCCACGCCGTTTCGTTGCCTTCTCTATGCGTGCGCGTGTGTGTTTACATGACATGATACAAACATCCCCATACACCAATTAAAAGAACCATTGCGGCAATGCACGTGCCCCTCACTGTGGCACTTATTCCTCTCGAACGCTTGTCCACCGGCATTCAAGCCACCTGGCGCCCAAGAGTGCGACCACCTGTGCATTCCCCGCTTTTCCCAGAGCCGTTCGTTCTCCTCCCCTTGCCATGCCATGCTCCAGGACAGGGGAGGCCGCAAATCCACCCCTAGTTACGTCTCCTTCGTGCAACCTCCCAGCGGCACGAAAAGCAAGCTGCTACTGCATTGAATACTCTGCCGCGTCACAAAACAGGCGCTGTTGCCCCTTGTGACCTTCGGCCCCAACAGCCGTCATGCTCTGACCTGGCGACTGATGTATACCCGCTTATGGATTATCTGCCCATCCAGCCTGCTGTTAAGTCAGATCCACAGGCGCTGTCAACAACCTACAAACTGGGCCTGTTGACAGTGACCCTGGTTGGGGGCCGTCCTTGTTATCAAGCAAACATTGAACAAATTGGAAACCCTAGAAGCTATGATATTGTTGAGGGCAGGCACGCGAGTTGCGTATCTGCAGATGTGCCACACTGCCCCTTGACAACTTGTGCAGTCGATTAAAAGAATTCTGCCCACTCCGAGGCACACTCCTGCCGTACAGTCTGAAGATCTTCACCTGCTGATTGCCAAGAGTGGCCAAACAAAATTGAGATGATCCTGACGATCATTTACCTCAAAACAACTTTTCTTCCCCCCACGGCCTTTTCTTGGGCCTATGGGTGCTCATCACCCACCCTTTCATTCATTTAGTGTGCAAGAAGTCCATTGTCAGCTCGCACACCACATCCATTCCGCACCTGATGAAGCAGACAGCACACAAGAGAGTGTCAACTACCTGTGGTGCAGGCAGTCCAACAGCTCTGAAAATGTTAAAACGATCAGGCACAGCACAAGGTTGGCAGCAAGCTTGCAAACCCATCATGACTAAAATGACACACTGGGGCAAGGGGCCGACCTTGGGCAGCTTACCGGCAAAGGCGTATCATCAATCAAGGGATCAAATTGCAGGGTGCCCAGTTTCTCTCTGCGTTTCGCTCTCCTCTTTCCTCCCCACCTCTGCCTGAGGCGGTTCACTGCTTTGGTAGTTGGCGCAACGCCTCTCTTGAGACTTGCGAAAGCCTCCCTCCTGCACAGACAACGAATGGTCAATGCCGATGAAAAGAAGAAACACTGCTGGTGCCAATGCAGCTTTGGGACAGCCAACTGCAACAGACCATGAATGAGTACCAGAAAGCAAAACAAACAATGCAGACAACCATCCTTCCTGAAGCACCAGCACAAGACAGGTGCCAAGGAGCCTTGAGCACACCCATCCAGCACTTCCAAGCCCAACAGCGCACTCTTTGACTGCACAAAGGCAGCAACATCGATGGGCCTGAAGGCATCAACAATGGCCCACCCACCTGCTTGCATCCGATTCTCTCAGTCGATGTATGTGCTCCTTCTGGCACGCAATCCTATACACGCACTCCTCCCTGGTCATCTCCGCCAGCAACTCTAGCTCGTCCAAGATTGTTCTGCGGCTCGTTTTATGGCTCTTCTGCACGATGTACTCGCTGTCCCGGTGGGAGTCGCCCCCTGCAGCGCCCTTCCTTGCGTTCCCCTTCTTTGCAACGCAGGGCTCCCTGAAAGAGCAGGGCGCTGACCGGCGACTATGGATCTCGGGAGGCGCGCTCCTGCCGCCATCCGACTGGTTGCCCGCCAGATAGGCCGCCATCATCATCCTCTCAGGCGACGCATCCATACACTCCTCCGGGTCCGTCCTCCGCGTCAAGCTGTCCATCGAACGAAAGCAGATCGGCAAGTCCACCCGGCTGCACTCCGTGGGCGCGGCTGGGCTCCATTCCCCCACGTCCAGCGAACCGTCGCAGCTGCCGATGATGATGCTCTCCAACGACTGCGTCAGGTCCGGCTGGCGCTCCCCACCGGGATGGCCCTCCCCCCCGCAGGCCCGCGGCAGCCACGGGACGCAGCACCGCCCGCTCTCCGACATAACCTCATGGACCTCATCGACGTCGTTCCCATGCCTCCGTGCGGGCGACCGCCACTCCCGCGCCCGCAGCACGTTGTCCCCCCATCCTCGCACCGACGCCACCAGGTCGCTGTTCGATCTGTGGGCCACCGCCAGGTCTTGGGGCGATTCATCGACCCCCTGTAGGTCCGTCGGCACTAAATCATCGTCGAAGACCCTGGCCAGGATGGGGTCCCGTGGCCTGGCCTTCCCGGCCATCCCGTCCTCGCTCCAGGGTGAATCGCTGCGCCGGCCCTGCCCCTCCCCCCCCCGCCCGCCCCACTCCTCCGACGTCCCCGCAACGTCCGTCGTGTCCGTGATCGCCGATGTGCTGCACGACAAGTCCAACGGCCGACCGCCACTGGCATCGTCCGCCAGCCGATCGCCCGAGGGCCGCCCGGGCCGCCGCTCGTCGCCCGTGGACTCCGTGTCCTCCCAGAGCGACGCTGCATCGCTGGGGCTGAAGGGATCCGCATCATTCCTCCACCCCCCCTCGGAGTCGCTGTCGGGGTCGCTCATGTACGGAGGCGCGCACCCCTCCGACAGGGTTCTCGTCTTCACTGCCCCGACCACCGCGCGACGCCGCGACCGGAGGCCATTTCTGCATCGCCTTATTCCCCCGCCGGCCTTCCCGGCCGTGATCGGCCCTTTATGCCCCTCATCCCCATCCCGCCCCCACCAGCGTCCCTTATCTTGTTCCCCACCCTCCAACCCCTCATTCGACGACATTTTCCACAGGCCTTGCAGCCAAAGCCCATGATCGGCCAAGTGCTCTCGTGCACCGACCTCACGCGCCTCCACCCGGTACACCAACAGATCCACGCAGAGCAGCAGCCCCACGCCGAAGCACGTGCCGAGGGCGAAGCCCACGCCCACGGCGTCCTGGCATGCGCCCGACGCGATGCTGCCCTTGCCCGCCGGCCTCCCGTAGGCCGCGGCCACCACGGCCTCCACCCAGGGCGCGTCCGTCACCGCCACGGACACCAGGACGGTGGCCGAGAACGCCGCCGCGAATATACAACCCCCGTAGAACAACCCCTTGGCCATCATCCCGCTTGCTCCCGAGCTTGTTCCCAGTCCCGCAACCTCCTGTCGTTCCTCGCGCCTTGCACGGTGGACGGGCACCCAATCAGGGCCCACCCGGCCCCTCCGCCCCTCCCCACCCCCAATAAAAAGAACAAACTCAGGCAATCCTCCGGTCAGCCTACGATGGGCGGGCGTCCGCGCCAAAGCCTGCCAGTACCGCAAGGTCGCCCAGTCGGCCACTTCCGCGCCTCTGCCAGCTCAAGCGCACCGGCGCTGCTGCAAGTCATCACCTGTTTGGCAGCGCGGGCGCAACTTTGCTGGGCCCAGGTTGGCCACAAAAGCGTAGGCACAAGGGGGCAATTGGGCGGAGTTATCTGGACATGCGGGCTCCAAGGTTGACCGTACAGCCCGCTGATTGTCAGACCTGGAGACCCCAAGAAGGGGGGCATCTTGTGAGGAGGCGCACCTGGGGTGTCTAATTCGGGCCGCGTTGCGGACGCACGTACATTTCCGGAGGCATGTGCGCAGTTCGATGGAAGCCGATGGGTTGCTGTGGATGATAATCCAACTGAGGTTGAGGCTTTCCTGGCTGAGGGCTGGAGTGCTGGACCGCAGCGTGGCAGTGAGGGCATGGGTGACTGAGGGCGCGGGACGATTAGAACGTCCCTCGGGCTCCAGGGGTGGTTGCCAGGGCGCCCACCGAAACAAAGCTGAGGGCGCTTCAAGTTCACGCGGAGAACCACGGAACCCTTCAACGCGCTTGGGAAGGGCTGGTGGGGGGAAGCGGAAGCAGAACGGCAAACCGACGTTGGCTGATTGGTCGAAACCCCATGGCAGGGAGGCCCCAGCGCGACATCTTTCAGTTTCGACCAGGGCGATCATGGAGCTCACCATGAGCCTGGTGCGAAGTGCCTCATGAAACTGTTGGATCCTTAATGACCCAGAAGGGCGCAGCAGAATTCCGTAGCCTTCTCCCATAGATACGGGAAGGCCACGGGCACGTGCAGACAGAGGGTTTTCGAGTGGACGGCCCATTTTTTGGAGTGGAGAAATTTCAGGTGTAAAGATCGGTGCCGACCGATGGCACGACCCTTCGGGGCTTGCGCAATGGAATACGACATGCGGAATCGATAACACCGCGTCGTATAGGGATGAGAATCGCTTCACACAGGACGCTGGGCTTATCCCCCGTAAGGGAACCACCCGCCCGACCTTCAGGTCCCACCCTCAGTCAGAGAGGCGGCCTGTTGAGGTGCACCGACCGTAAGGAGCAAATGTCTTACAGACCGGGGGCGGCTACAATGCGCACCCCCGCCTTCTTATACATCTCCCATGTTCTCTCCTACGACAAAATCCAAAAAGGTTCACTCAACGGTCCAAGGGTGCATCCAGATCTCACCACA